AGCACTTGAAAAAACTGCCTCTCCTGGTGTGATTCCATGCAAGTGGCTGGCAGGGAGGTTTGGCACTCTGCGTGATAAACTGTGTGCCTAAAACGTTTGATAATATCAAGAAATCATTTATCATTTTTTGCCATATAATCTCCAATGTGCAGGTTCAGCTGGCGTTATCCGATTTTTTCAGGATGCAGAATCCTGTACCTCTACTTGTCCTGGCACTGACCTAACAATTATAGCATTTGCTGGGCACAGGAAAGTGGTTGTGGTTGACATTAACAGCAAGATACAGAGCCTATAAACAACCACAGCACTGAGTGAGACCTGACATGAAAGATGATGGTACTACTATAACTTAACATGTATAACCACAGACCAGTCAGCTTTATGCTCCACTGAGAGAGCATCTACTCCAGTCGCATTCAAATGATTGGCTTCAACCTTAAGAATTCATTTTGTGGGAGATGAATGTGTGTGCACATTGTTGGAAAATAAACCAAATACATCTTCTGTGGTGCCTGATTTAACAGAGAGGTGTTGTTCTACCTGATCCTCAGCAAAGACAAAGACTCATAACGCACTAACAAGACAAATTGATCTTTTGTACTTCTGCTCACAACTTATGAGTGTTAGCCGTAAAATTTAACCCCTTCACTTAGTCACACCCTGAGTTGTGTTTTATGTCAAATATAAGGGAGAACATACTTCAGTTTAACAGTAAAATCTGCATGACCCAGGTTGATCTGTTCAATATATGGGAGAGCTCTATTTGGAACGGATCCAAGTCAGATAAAGCCTAACAGGCTGGGATCTATGATGTCATCCACATATAAAATCCAGAGCTGCAATCTAATAACATGATTTAATAAGCTTTTTTGATTTTATGTCTGGCAAATTGAACTCAAACCTGGAGTGGATTGCTATTGCACCTGAAAGCGTTTCTTGTATCTCCACCTCCTGCTTTTACAGTCTGTTACCTTTCTCCCCTTATCCCCTTAACTTTGATAATAAACCACCTGCAGTGTGCAAGACCAGGAATAACGTGCAAATCTATATCCAACTTACACAAAGTTAATGACTCAGAATTATTGGACAATTATTGGATAACTGGAATATTCTGTCTCCAATGTGCAGATTCAGTCATTTTTTTTGTTACCGACTGAAAATTAATGCAATTCACCATCCATTTCTATGAAAATAGAAGGTGTATGCAGACGTGCCTGTTTAAGTTTTATACATCTTCAGCTCTCGATGTAAATTTAAACGGAATTGACACTGAAATATGCTCATTCTCTGCATTCACCTGGAACTGAAATGGAAATGCTGTACCTGCTGTATAAGAGCAAATGTTGAGCAGGAGTCCAAAGATCAGCATCCTGTCTGGTGACATTGAAGAGTTGGACAAAGGAAAACTTGCGCCCGGCTGGCTGCAGCTCAGTGACCCGTCCCCCGCTTCATCCAGCCGCCTCTTCCTCATCCTCAGAAAGACTGCTACGCCTGAACTAACTGGAGCAAATCGGACGATCTAGTGCACCAAGTTGTCTGAACTGAACCGGAGCGACTCAAGTTCTCTCAACATATGTTGTCCCATTTATTTGTACGTATCCTGTTTAGATGTGATGGACGTTATTTTTTTTAAGCGGATCCGCAAATAACGATCTAAAAAAAAGTTTCGCCAGTGCGCTCCTCCGCTGCTCTCCCGCTGAAAGTCGTGCCGCTTTTGCACTTGTGCGCGTTTCCGCTGCAGCTCCACAGTTGCCCAGCCAGAGCAGAGACCTATGCGCTCAGGCTTCTGAAGCCACGACGTGATTGGCCCCTGGAAAGGGCTGAAAATGCCCGTGAGATGGTAAAATGCGTCCACTGGGAGAGCGGCTGAGTCTCTGCAGGAGCCAAGTCAGGAAATCATCTTGATGGATGGCAGAAGTTGCAACCTATGCATGGCACTGGAAAGACCATTATGTTTAAGTGGTTACATACAGGCTATCGACAGAATTTTCATACCACTTATGAGCCACTAAATCAGTACACACACATAATTTTATCTCAACAACTGTTAAGCGGATGGAAACTTTGCTTTGTTTTGTTATCTTCCATTCAGAGCCATGCTAGAAATATCAGTCATTTGTAATGTGCCCTCTAGTTGCCTTCATGGTAGTTCAGAGTGAGATCAAATATTGCATGAAATAGGTGGCTTGTCTGCTCTGACACTGCACCCTCTGAGCCTTCTCCACTTATATATGGCAGAAATGAGAATGTAAAACATGTTCCTGCCCCAGTGCTGTGGTTGAACTCTGGGAAAAGGCTTTGATCAAAAAGGAAAAATTTCAAAAATATCCACTCAGCCCATTTTGTAGAAAGACTTGATGTCAAGGACATGTCAGAATAGGGTTTGCAGTATTTTTTCACGCGCACAATTCAGAATAATTTTCTCCTTACAACTTGTGAAAAGTGTAGACGAATAGTTTTGTCGCAAAAAAATGTCCTCAGCTTTTTTCTTAACAGCTGTTTGGAAAACCAAAGCATGTTCAACTCTCACCAAATTGTCCTCAACGTGTTTGATAGCTTGCTAAAGTCCTAAATTCAATCGATTTAAATGTAAGAATGAATACAATCACTGCCTTTAAGGCATGATTAAATAAATCCAAAGCTGCTGTTTAAAAAGGAAAAAACAAATGTATTTGGGACTGTAAAGAGCACACCTCTGACCCAAACGACAGAAGAGTGATTAGATTCATTTATACATCCTACTTAACTGCACACTCAAATGGTTGAATAGAAGATTAAATAGTCATTAACATGAACATTAGATCAAACAAGAACAATAACATTTATAAATAAATAAGCAACAGTAACCATGGCAGCATGTAACCTTGTTCTAAAACTCTTCAATCGTCTTCACTGACATGCCTCGAATATTGAACAAAACGCTGTAGTCTGTAAGACTAACTGCCATACAGCTCATTTCCCTTTGGAGTTCACCTACATTTAAATTCTTTCCTAAGTACTTTCCTCCATCTTCTTAAATTGATCCAAAGTAGGTCTCCTCATAACTGGTTTGCCAGTTGATGCACAGCAACTCAACAACTCCTCCGTGTGGTCAACTCCGCACATGAGCTGAGGCAGCTACAGGTTACTGTCCGAAATGGGGAATTGTGTTGTTGTGCAAACTCACAGTTGTCATCTGGTGTTTCAAATAAATGTCAAATTAAACGTGATTTGGTTTGACAATACATCAGCCACTGATACATCACATCATCATTCATCACATACAAACGTCTTTACTATACATTCTGTTTCACATACTTTTTATCAATAAAGATACCATTGAAAGATTTGTGATTAAAAATTTCTTTTAGGTAAGGAAATATAAAGTTTTTTAACAAAATTCTGTGTGAATGTCTTTTCTACTGGCTAAAACTGAACAGAAAAAATAAGTCAGTAAGTCATTGAAATGCCATCTTATTGCAGAAAATTAGAAACTGTTAGTTTAGAAGTCTTACAACCTGAAGAAAAAATGTGTTCTAAAGGCAGGTGAAAGGCTGAGATGACTATTTCGGGGCGTCTGAGATGAAAGTCCCTTGAGTTGTGCCCGCAAGACACCCAGACTACTCAAGTTTTTGTTTTCTTTTTGTGAATTTTTAAGAAACGTTTTTTGGATGTTGATGTGTATGTGGCCATTTCTTTTGTCTTCTTTTCTGGTATGCAGCCCATTCTCCAGTCTTTATGTCTACTGTTCAACCCTTTTAAGCTGTTGCTGTCTTTTGCCTCCCCCTGGTGGACACAGGACCATAGTTCCGAATTCCCCAGCAAAGGGATAAACGGTTTAGTGTCTCGTTGCCTGGCAACCACAGGGTTGCCGCACTAGGACACTTTCTGCTGTTCCAGGAATAGATGTTCTCTTAATTTGTTGTCATTTCTATTGGTAAAGAAAAATAGCGAATTTACTATAACAAAGGGTGGGTGATTTTAAATAAGCAATTAGTCAAATATCAATTTAAATAGAAATGTAGTAGTTATATAATTCCAGGATTAATGTTTTCAAACAAATAAAGAAAGTGACTCTTTACAAAGCATTTAGATATAATTTTCAAAAAAACTTCCATCACAAAAAAATATATATATTTGGCCAATTCCCATCTTTTTAGCAAATCTGGACCAGAATACGGCAAGGTTGGTTCCTTCCTTATGGTTCAGAAGTTTCAGCCATATGAAGAGTTAACGTACAGAACAAATGTATGATCTTTAATCATTGAAAACTCTTTAGCAGTAAGACTTCACCCGTTTGAGATTCTTGAAGTCTGGCGTTCAGCACATGCGCCGACTAACGGGGGGGGGGGGGGGGGGGGGGGGGGGGGTGCAGACTCACAGGTCCATAACTGATTTAATATCAAACATCTGGCAAACAGCTGTCAGTTACTCCACAAAAAAAGATTAATCGAAGTCAAATTGAAAAGCCACTAATAAGGATTAATTCTTTAATTAATAGGCAACTGTATGCCAAATATAACTAGGAACCTTATTTAACAGGAACTGACCTCACAGAAACGCAGGGTGGCTATACCGCAGTGTTAATTTTAGACTAGATATATGCAAGCTATCAGGTGTCTATATAGTAATAAAATGTCTTTCTAATATACCAATATTAGTTGTTAACACTAACAATCATTACTACTACTTACTTATATTAAAGTGCGTATGTAACATGATCTACAGTTAGTAGTAATTTTGAGTACAACTTTGCGGTGACCCGTCTCCTGAGTCCTTGACAGATATAGTACAGTATGTCTCCATGGTTTCTCCTCAGACATGCATCTGTTAAACCGTTTGTCTTGATGTGCGTGACTCTGAAGAGTATACCAATTAAGAGCGAGTCAAATCCACATGGTGACTCATTTAATTTCAAGCTAAATGAGTCACTTCACGTGAATTTAATATCAGGATTTACTTGCTTGGTAGAAATAAAGTATGCAAAGTGACGTCATCGCGACCTAGGCCGTTTATTGGCCGAGGACGTGACGTCGTGAAATGGACCAATCCCTTAATACCGAAATTCTCGTGTTGTATCGCGATCTATTTCGTTAGATAAATCTATAACGCGGCTTCGCAATCGGCCATTTCGTCGGTACAGGCCATCAGCTGTAGAGGGCAGTTGGGGTATATCAAGTCTACTGGTCACCTGAAAGACACACCAAGAACATCGCAACATGAATGAGACAGCCATTTCTTTCGCTAAGGACTTCTTGGCCGGCGGTATCTCCGCTGCCATTTCCAAAACAGCCGTCGCCCCAATCGAGAGAGTGAAGCTGCTCCTTCAGGTAAAACTCTGCTCTTCCGGAAGGCTCACTTCATTAGCCGGCTAGCTTGTATAATCCTGCTATAGGACGCAGTTGAGTTACACTTCTATAGACTCTTAACACTACTAAAGGCTTACAGTTTTACATTGGTTATTGTTTGTTTTGTGGTAGAATTGATCGAAAAGAGTTCAAGGATTTGAGGTCATTGCAGAAGGGGGGATGACCTACACGAGCCCGGCTGCTAACGCTAGCTATGCGGGTTAACCTTAGCCGGTGTAGCTAACAAAGGACAAACGGTTCTAGTGACATTGGTACATTGTGTACAAACAAATTACAGCTTCCTCAGACACATTCTATTGATCGAATTTAAGTTGCATTTCCAATAGCAACGTTAGTTCTGTATATTCTGACTCAAACTGGCAACGCATTCGTAATGGTGGCCCGTATTCCATTTATGTTAGCGGGATGTCAGTGCAAAGGCCCTACGCAGTGATTCAGTGCTGGGTTAACCCGTCTTAAATCCTTCAATGTCTTCCCACTAACATCGATTTAAACATGTGTTTGATAAGATATTTTCCCCTTTATATTACTAAACTGTTTATATAGGTTACATTTTTTGATATATTAAACAATACTGTGCAAAACTCTGCAGAGCAGCCAGTATGATTTATTGTAAGCAAGTATAGGTAGCACTTGTATGAAGAACCAGCAAAGTTGAGTTTTCAGCAACTTTGACACCTTTCACAGGGACCAAGGTCACAACAAGGGGACTTTGTGATTGTTGTGAGTCCTGAAGTTGACTGGCTTCCTAATTCCTAATGACATTTGTTCTTTCTTGTGCTTTGTTGTTCCAGGTCCAGCATGCCAGCAAGCAGATCACCGCTGACATGCAGTATAAGGGAATCATGGACTGTGTCGTCCGGATCCCCAAAGAGCAGGGTTTCCTTTCCTTCTGGAGAGGTAACCTTGCCAATGTCATCAGATATTTCCCCACACAGGCCCTCAACTTTGCCTTCAAGGACAAGTACAAGAAGGTCTTCCTTGATGGCGTTGACAAGCGCACCCAGTTCTGGAGGTACTTCGCCGGCAACCTGGCCTCTGGTGGCGCCGCCGGGGCCACCTCTCTCTGTTTCGTGTACCCCCTCGACTTTGCCCGTACCCGTCTGGCAGCGGATGTGGGAAAGGCCGGGGCAGGAAGAGAGTTCAACGGTCTGGGCGACTGCCTGGTGAAGATCTTCAGGTCTGATGGTCTGAAAGGTTTATACCAGGGCTTCAACGTGTCTGTGCAGGGCATCATCATCTACAGGGCTGCATACTTTGGCATTTATGACACAGCTAAGGGTAAGTTGGTGGGCAGTGATGTTCACATTTGTGTGTGCTGGACCTCAATCTCAATCTTGACTTTTTTTTCTGTCTTTAACAGGAATGCTTCCAGACCCCAAAAACACCCACATATTGGTTAGCTGGATGATTGCACAGAGTGTAACAGCTGTTGCTGGCCTGACCTCATACCCCTTCGATACTGTCCGTAGACGCATGATGATGCAGTCCGGACGCAAAGGAGGTGGGTCTCCTTGCACTCGCACTTTGTTGGCCGCTTTTTCTTTTCCTGAGTTTTCTTAACTGTCAGTTGTCGTCTGTCTTTTCTTTGATTGGACTGTTCTCTTCTCTTCCCTCAGCCGACATCATGTACAGCGGGACCATTGACTGCTGGCGCAAGATTGCACGCGATGAGGGTGGCAAGGCTTTCTTCAAGGGAGCCTGGTCCAACGTGCTCAGAGGCATGGGTGGCGCCTTCGTGCTGGTGTTGTACGATGAGCTGAAGAAAGTCATGTAACTCTTCATGTTGTCGCATCACTGTCCAATTTGGCTAAATGTATTAACTTTCCATTTCTATGGACTTTGCATTCTGCCTTATTTATGGGAACAAACTAGTGTCTCACCAGTAGCTGTGGGCGGTGGCTGTAAGTTGTGCATCTATGATTTAAAAAAAACAAAACAAAAAAAGAACGTTCCACATCCTCTTTACCAATGTCATTCCTGTTAAAGAAATATGAATACCTCCTCCTGTTATTCACTAGGTTTGTATGGTCCCAACTTGAATAAATTCATTCTGGGGAACAACCTTAACCATTGATGTCGACTGTCTGCTCCACTGTCATTCCTGAGATGAACACTCGTTGGATAATGAATTGCACGAAGTGGATTACACCCAACTGCTATATTTACTCATGCTTATCTCTGCCTGAGCCCTCCTGGTCTGACCGTGATCATTGCTAGGATTGTAGAGTAGTATGCCCATGTGCCCGCCCCTTGAGCACGGCATGCTATTTGCAGCACACACAATGGTTTTTAGTGCTTTTAGATATATTTAGATTATGTGGGCAGGTTGCTGCTTACAGCAAATCAGCATGATTATATCAGGATGGTTCCCTCACTGCACAGACAAGTACACGCCGATTAGGGGAGCTACTAAAAACCATTGTGGCTGAACAATCTTAAGAATGCTCTGCATCCCATTGCACAAAGAATACTGTCATGAAATGCGATCACAATAAACAGGCGTATGCTTAAAGTCCAAAAAGCTGTTGATGCAATTTTGTTATAGCAGTTTTTTGCATGTGGTTGGAAAATGTTTTCTAAAATAGCCACCCCATAGCCAGTACCATTTTCTTTATTCAGGCTGGCATAAGGGCCCAGGGTATTAACTGATAATAAAGCTCCAGTGCTGCTGGAAATCTCTGTCCACTTAGTGGCGATAGAGGCGGGCACATGTATCAAAGCATTTATTTTCCTGGTAGTTAGACTGACGTGGAAGTTTAAGAGTACGTCAGGGTTTGATTAGTCCTGCCCAGCCCGAGCGGAGAAGTGCCAGGAGGGGGTGCCAGAGGAAAGGAAAAGGGACATTTCCGCAATCTGGCAGCACGTGCTGGGTTTCCTCTGAAGCTCAAGCAAGCTTGAATTTTTTTTTTTAATCCTCTCCTTATTGAGATTAATTGGACAGAAAATGGAAAAACAGCACGTCCCATGTGTTCATATGGCTGTCTCTAATACGGTTGGTCGACATAAAACAACTTAGTGTAAGAAATCCTGTTTATACGATTAGTTAATGGATGATAGTATGTCTAATGTTTAACTGCTGGCTGTAAAGGAAAAAAGCACATCAACTCAGCAAAAAATCCTGAGAACTTTACAGTATGAGAGTTTTGGGGGAAAAAAGATTTATGCAAAACCACAATATGTTATATATTATCTTTAATTAAATGAAGGCAGAGAGTTGCTCTTTCCCACAAAGTATCAACAGTCAACTGGACTGATTATTTTGGTTCCATAAGTGTATATCTATTCTATATTCATTTGTACACCATCTTTCAACATTTATCCATTAAAATTTCTAACCTGATCAAGTGTCTACATTTTTGTTTAGATTTCTTCTCAGTAGATTGTGTACGCTTTACAGCTCTTACTAAAACTTTATAGATTAATGTAGTAATACTCTGTATGTAAGAATTATTTGTGTTCTTAAGTTATCTGGACTATACCCAACGGACTATGCTATATGGAAATAAACAGAGATTTCTCTTGTCAAAACCAGTTAAACAAGGACACACAACAAAGTGCAAATAGATCCTACTGTATGGCTTGCATAGAAAATAAGTTACTTAAATGGGAAAATCAGACAGCATTTATCTGACCAGTGAGAAATGCAGTCTGTTATTGTATTACAATTAATAAAAGATAATTTTTCCTTGTGCTCTTAAACTGTCTCCCATTGTTTCTGTGTATAATTAACTGTTATGTAATTTCTTTGGACAAAATGTTCTTTTTGTATCACTAGCTGCTGCTTTAAGTGAGTGTACTGTAGAAAATATTAGATTCTAAACAATAGCTATATGAATCCAACATTTTTTCTTCATTATGAAGCTATATTATGGATTATTGCCATAGGTATATATTGCATTAAGTGTCCCTTTAGTTTAAAGAGAAATGTATTCCTAGAATTAATTTAATCTAACTTAATTAAAAACAGGAACATTTGCTCAAACCATCTTTTTTTTTTAAATTCAAGCTAAATTTGACGCTGGAAATTAAAATAGACAAAAACGATTAATGTGTGAATATTATATGCATTGACTTTTACTCAGTCGTGATGGTGATTTTAATTAATTCATCAGGAGCTCAGCCTGTTGCTTGCTGACTTCTATACCTGTTATGGATCATTGATCTTATATGGGTTAAACATGCAGTACACCAGCTAGTCAGTACCATAGCCCCAGACCAGATCAGCTGACCGGGAACTGTTTGGTCATCTTTGACAAACTCATTCACGGCCTGTTTGTGTTCCAGTGTAGCCTCGCAGAGGAACCTTACTCCTACTCGTGTGTCCCCTTCTTCGTAAACTCTCTGCAGCGGATGTATCACTCTCCGCCTACAGCCGAAATACTTGCGAGTCTTCACGTTTGAACCGCTTGTAGGTGTGAAAAACCATAGTTTATTAATCATTGTTAGATTTGCAACCAGCTGACAGCTTGTCCAGGGTGTTTCCTGCCTTCTGCCCAGTGCATTCTGGGATCAATTCCAGCATGTTCTTCATGGTATCGGCATTTCCAACTGTATTTAGAGTCAACACAAACCACCATCACCAGGCTACAATTATCTCCTGGGTTAATTTTAGCAGTAGCTGCTTATTATTTAAATTGTAATAGTTTTATCACCATTTTTGTTTTTTAAATCTGGCTTTGCAAATTCTGTCCTGATGGACCCCATATGGAAAGATTACATCCCTCAGTGGACACGACTGCTTAGTCTACATGCTAAGGGGCTGTTTATGTGGGAGAAAATGCACAAAACATGGCAGGGAACAGAATATATAAAGGAAACGGCAACAAGACTTTCTGTGAAGTACAGGAAAGTACTAGTTTTTATTCCTTCATAATCAAACTTCACAAACAGCTTGAACTTGTACAATACCTCAGAGAGTGAAAATTACAAAAAAAGTGCTGGTAACATTTACAAAAATCATCCTTACTTAGCAACAATCAGTTTATTCTTCCACACTTTTTTTAGTCTTTTGTATTAAGGCTTAATACTTCTTTATAAAGTATATGCAAGATAAGTCTTCACAGTTTTTCGAAAAAAGTCACAATATTATGTAACATAATGAAGCTTTTACGGCTATTTTCTTTATAATAACAAATACACATCACTGGTAAATATATGTGAAATACAGGGCTTATTGTAAAATGGCAAGTAATGATACTGTTTGCTGAGATAAATTGATTCCACACACTGTTATAGGAAAGTTTTGACATACCGTTGCTATAACTGAAGGAGGAGGAAAAGAAAATGATAAGCATAAACACTTGGGAGATCGCCTCCAAACTTTGGCACATCCCATAAAACAATTTCACAAAATATGAGATTTAATTTTGAAATCATACACATGGAAGAATAGCTAAACTGGCATAAAGTGAAAACATGCTGTGTAGTAAGGTGCTAAATCAGAGATATTACACTGCCAGCCTTTTTTTTTTCCTTTTTTTTCCCCCACATGGAATGACATGAATAAGGTGCAATTGTAAGACTCGAAGCATGTAGGTCTTTCTTAGATGTTGACGAAGTATGTTATAAATACAAGTTTTAAAAGCAACCTAAATAAATTAGACCAATAGTCTTGAGGCGACCTCTTATACTCATGCATTCCCATGGATTCATAAAAATGAATATCTCCTCTGCAGTTGTATAACTCTAACTGTGGCATGTGAAAGTAAAAGCTGTATTCATGGTCTGTGATATTTGATTTTTTTTCTTTTTTTTTTCCTGCTGAAATTGTGAAAAGAAACTTGATGAGAAAAGGAGATGAACTTGAAAACTAAATGCTAAACTAAGCCAAGATATATTCACAAGATCCTCTAAGCTGCACTGGTTTACAGGTCAAAAGATGAGAGCTCTAGCCCTAGCCTTACCAATTTTTACCCTCATGCATACTGTACGGTTAAAGTGACGCAACAAGCTTGCTTAAATAGTCTACATCACAAAAGCAATTTGGTTTTAGTGCAAACACAATTGGCTGGCTTCAGCTTCTCAATAATAACAAGCTCACCAAGGAGATTACAAGAAGGCACATACTTATGCTTCCTCTAACACGCAACATATTTAGACAAACCGCAACATCTTTCAACAACACCACAAAGCGGTGAAAACAGGAAAGCCACTACATCCAGATAAAATGGTTCAAAGTTTTGCTGTTTGTGAATTCTTGGAAAATTTACACTTATCCATCAACAGAACGATGACAGGAGGTTGCCGGGCGACTCTGTCGGAAAATGGATGAAATACGACACGTTTTGGCGGGTAAAGATTCCCTACGTAATTAGCCAATGATGCGGTGAAATTCTGCAGATTTTTTTTTTTCCTCTAAGAAGTGTTTAATTATTGATTCACTTTAAAGCATCTATTGTGACGTCTCAGGGGAAAAAAAAAAAAGAAAAGAAGCAAAGTGACCAAATATGCTGAGATTTAGGACAAGTGTCTGTAGAGGAGTGGTGCGCGTGACTGTGGACATCTGGGTTTTATCTTTTGGTATTTGTGTTTTTTCTTCAAACATGTTGCAGGCTGTGTGATGAAGACGACTGACGCTGACTCATTGTGAATGACTCTTTTCCTCCCAATATCCTGTCTCCCATTTCAGATCTGTAAGAGCTGCGAGATTTGTCTGAAACGATCACAGGAGGAAACAACAGGTTTAATGCCCCTCAATTCTGGACGCTAACACTCGGGGTGGAGCTGGGTAAAGAGGAAATAAAATAAAAAAAGGAAAAAAAAACTTGCTACAAACACTTATAAAGGTGACTTTTTCTGTACCTTTGACTGCAAATGAAAACTGTCAAATAACACCATTTACTCAGCGACAACCGTCCAGTAATATGGTTCAGAAACGAGTAGAGTGAATTATATTGCTTTTGATAGAAGACTGGAATCAGTCTAGTGCAAATCTCTTTTCTGGTTTGAGAAGTGGTGTTTGGTGTGATGAGACACAATCTGCTCTACCACAGAGAGAACATATCAGGTGATTGTGAGGTGGTGTCCCTTTATGATTAAAAAAAAAATAAAAAGACAAAAGAATTAAAAGAGCATTTTTGTTTTTAAGAAAGACAAAAATAAATCTGTCACCAGTCTATGCCTTGCAACAATTTGGAAGGAAAACCCCAATAAATAATTTCCAATTAAATAGAACCCTTCATCCAGTGAAAGCAATTAACCAGCACAAAGTCTACATCTTAACCCTTTATATCCAAATAACTCCTGTTTTGAACAGGAGGATGGCGGCGTTTCTCAGTCACCCCCCCCCCCCCCGGCACAGCGGGGGGGTGTGCTTCATCTGTCTGCTCACGTGTGCTAACGGGTGTCATCTCTGTTCTTATGTCTGTCAAATACATCTCTCAACTTGGAAATGTTGGAAAACTCACTCCAGTCCAGTGTTTGACAAATCATATTATAAAAACGTCCTCGCACATACATCAAAAGAAAAGAAAAGGAAAAAAAAAACATCTTTATCCCCTATTTCAAACAGCAGTCAATACATTTCAAACAAGCTTGTTTCATAAAAACAATAATAATAATAAAACACAAACCAACTCGGAGCATAAATTATCAAAAACAAACTGAAAACACATTACTGCAGCATATATTTCAGGGTTGCTTAGTTGTGATGTCAACTACCATTACTACAACAGCTCCACTTCTGCCAAGTTCAGAACTATATCCAAAAGAAATTATTTGTAGGGAAATCATGAAATATCAAAGCCAATATACGCAGAAAAAGCCAAACAAAATATACACATATTTATAAGCACATCTCATAGTTCAACTCAAGTGCATCATTACAAAAGCATCTACATACATGATATGGCAGCAAAAAGCCTGTAAGCCGGATGAAAAAACAAAAAACAAAAGAAATAGAAAGCTGCTTTTAATCAATCGGGTACATTAGATTTCTGATTTACTTAACGTCTTCGGCCCATGTATTAAACATTGAATTACAGTAATTCAATTTCCTATTTCGAAACCACAGGATGAATAGAATACAGCAGATTCACCGAGAATTAGAGCTTACAGTAATGAAATATTGTCCGGGGCCAAATATAAATTGCCAAATGCTTTACATTCTTCTCACAGACCATATGCGTTACAGCAAAATAATCCAAAGGAACCACACATTTGGCCCACATTGTGATGGACAAACCCATCTTACAGTTTAGTTTGGGTGCAGTTTTGATCGTGTTGTGGTGGCTGGATCTGATGCTTTCTGGTACTCTGTCGTGTTTGATTTGAGACTGAACGCTGTGTATTATTATAATTCTCAATTTCCTTTTACTTTTTTTTTTTTGGCTTAAATAAACAACTTACAAATATGTGCAAACTTAACATCTTGGTCCATCTCAAGTATAAATGGCTGAATGTACTCTAAGTAACAAGGTTAGATTAGTATTTTAGGGACAGCCTTAAAATATTAGACAGTGCCAATATTGAAAAAAAACAAATAAACAAACAAAACAGAACTGTAGCAACAAAAAAAACACAAACAAAAACAATTAAACTATTCAGATGTAATCCCAAGTGAAGGTGAGAAGGTGTACACCAATTTGCTAAGTGTGTGTGTGTGTGTGTGTATAGAAGACATGACCAATGAGTAGTGAGTGTGATGTTTAGCCAGAGGGACAATGCAACATTTACAATCTTATACATGTTTCAACATGCCATAGTTTACATCACAGCTACTGTGTCGGATTCATTTTTTGTGTTTTGTT